ATATTTGCTACTTAATAAAAATGCTCCTTTTGAGTAACGGAGTAATTTTGTTTATAACGTGGAAATCGTGTACTAGTGAAAGGAAGCGTTGCTAAATATATCCTAGGCTTGTCTTCATCCAAAGAAAGTATATAGTTGAATTGGAAAGGGGTTCTCTACAATAAACTCCGCCTGAAGAAGCAAACGATTGATTCGAATACTGCTCACACTTGGATCAAGTGAAGGTCAAGATTGATGAAAAATATTCCATCAGGATAAAGCGACATGTGTTTCTTTGGCTGGGAAATTTTTAACTGATCCTTTCACTAAGTATTGCACCTTCGGACTACTATTTATTCACTTTTTTACAGAATTCTCTTAATAAAATAGAGTTAAATTCCCTGGTAGACTGCAAAATACACATTGAACAGTTCTTTCCTGAGAAAGATAAAATGTTCTTGGAAGATAGAATTACAGAGCTGTGTATGTAAAGCTACACACAAAAAAGTACACAAAAACGTGAAACAACCTAAGACGAGGAACTTATGTACAGGAGAATTCTGAAAAAATTTCTCGGTCCGCTCCACTTCCTCAAATCTGACCAAATGATTAAACATCAGATATTATTCAAACGTTTTCTTGCTCAAACCAAGAACTTTTTAGCATACTCTCACCTACAAATATATATACTATATCTCTTAATGATATTAAAAATCATGAACGTATTTCCAATCGTGAAGTATAACTTGTCGGAATATATCCGTCAACATAATAAGTTTTAAATATGTGTGGAATTTTCAAAATTTATTTTTATTTCATTTATATCGTTTGGTTATCCTATGCCTACAACAATATTTACTAAAATAAGGTTTTGGTGATTATTTTTATCATCCTAAATCGTCGTTTTACTTTTCAAACTTAAGCTCAACAAATAAATCTTTTCAAGTAGTAGAGTAGATCACTTGTCACACCAGCTGTAGACTTGCTTTGAAATAGGTAGGATATCAAAAGTATAATCGTGAAAAGTGTTAAATACTGTTAAAGCTTATTGATCGTGATATTACAATTATGTACCGATATACATCCTCATTTTATAAAGTAATTCTATAAGAAATAAATTCTAAAATAACCAATTCATAAATCAGTCGTTAATTAAACAAACATTAATTGTTATAGTTGCCATCAAAGCATATTAATGCGAAAACAAGTGCATCAATGCATCATGGCCTATCAGTATTAGAAAATATTTCAAATGAACATAATGATAGATGAGAATTTCAGAACGTTAGTTTATATAGAGAGAATAAGAATCTTAATTCTTATAATTCGATTTCAAATATGTATTAATTCATAAATCCATGTATGTACAAGGTATTTTGCAGATATTGGCATGGAAATTTCAGTATGATTATAAGTAGATACCTCCAAAGAAAAGCGATATCTAAGGTTTAAAATGATTTTTAAAAAATGAAAAATATTTCTTTATTTTAGTTTTAATTTCAAGCTAATAGATTAAATTTGATATTTTCAATATGCAAAATACTTTTCTGTATTTCAAAACGAATTTAAATTGATTGGAACGAGATAGCTAAAAACAAATATGTCAGCACAATGTAATTCTCTTTATTAAAATAAAACAAAATATGCATTTCTGAAACTATTTGAGGAAGATTAGCTGATTTAAAGTTTAATAACCCTAGTTTGAAATAAATATTACTTTTAGTTTAAAATATCGCAGAAAAGCATATTTTAACACAGAGGTAGGTATTTTTATGAGGCGTTGACAACTATCTTGATAGACTTATATTTGGAAATTTTTTCTACAGGGAGACATATCTGTATAAATTAATTGATGAATATAATGTGAGTACTTTTTATATAATTTTAACTACTCAATAATCTTTAAAATTTAGCAAAATGTTCTAAGTAATCTGATATTTTATTGAATTTTTGGTACCTAGGCTTTAAATTTACTATAGTTACCACTCATAATGTCGTGTATAGACGTCGGTATTTACAAAAATCTGCACGTTTATACACACACAAAAAAAATCAAAATTCTTTTTAAAATACTGAGGGTCGCTGAATTGTAGCAAGCTTTTCTATTTATGATTAGTAAACATAGTTTTTACTTAATAACAGTATCATTTAACCGGTATTTAAATGTTTATACATTATTCTAATATAAAACAATTCCTGTAATAAGGAAATGAAAAAGTCTTGTAAAAATTCATTATTCATCGAAAATGCTTTTCTTAAGATAATAGTGTCCATAACATATATTATTCATAAAAGCTTTTCTTATTAAATAATGTTTAGTTTTATTGGATTTTTATTTTAAGATTCAGAGAAGATTTTCTGTAACTGGAGATCCTGTTTTACAAAAGAAAAATAATAGTTGACGATTTAAATTCTCCAAGGACATGAGATTATAACTAATATAAACATTAAACTCTACAAAAATGAATTTCTCAAAAATTTCATAAAATAAAGTAAGTGGAAGGTAAAAGATGTAAAAAGAAATATTTTATCAAGATTTTCTAAAAAAGAAACATTTCTAAAATATTAAGTCCTTTGTGAATACGTCCTGAACGCTTTAAAATCTGAAAATTACTTGAGTTTTGGAAGAATTTCCGAATAAATATTTTTACCACGAAAAAGACGCTAAAATTTTCCATATTAAATTTGTCACCCTTTGACACAAGAAAAAAATTAACCAAAATTTTGAAGATTCGAAAATGGATTAAAAATAAAATTTAATAAAAAAAAATCTTTTGGTCTTTCCTCAAAAATCTAAATTTAATAATAACATAAATATTTGGACGATAAAACCTTGTTTTTTTTAAGTTAGGGCATTTTTTTATCATATATGCTCATTCTTGGCGAATCTTTGGGGTTACCAAGTTATAAGTATTTTTACGGAGTTCTAAAAATAAGAAATTTTCTCAGATAAATTCTTAAAAATGTTTAATAAAATTTTTATTTTTTTTACTTTTTATTGTTTAGGAGTGGTGTTCTTTAGTTAGCTTTTTTCACTAAAACCAAAAAAGACATTTAGTTGCTTTGGAATGCACGGCCCTATTTTTATTCCTATTTTTTCTTGCTTCTTAAAACGGTAGAAATTGTCAGTTCAGCAAAATCCCACAGGTTTCTCTGCTAAATCTTCGGTAGGACTTTTTTTCGTAAAAAGCTGTAAAGTGTCTCTTTTCTCATTACGCAGCACTCAGGCTGACATTGGCTACGGTAATAACCCTTCCTCCTACCCTTCAGGAACCTCCTCTTTTTTCAGCCAATCATCTTGATTCACTTCAACTCATATATTAACACACACCTACCCCGATCGCCACTTATATAATTTATATTTCACAATTTATATTCTCATTGATGGATAGGTGAGAAATATTCACTTCATCCATCTAGAAAATAAATATATAAGAAATAAATTAATTAATTAAAGCAATTAACTCCAATTAACTCCAACAATAGCTTGTCATTCTTTATAGGCAAGATTCACATTTATTTGTAGAAAATGAATATAATATTTTTACACAGTAAGCAAAAATTTAAGCAATAGATGCATATTTTTGCTTCAATAAACATTAACTACCACTGCATGCATCTTTGTGAATTGCATTACAATTTTGTACACTTTTGTCTTGTCCTTAAAAATAATTTATGGTATTTAATTAGAAATTTGAAATGTGATTTTTTGAATAGATTCAGTTCAGACAGGCCAAAACTTGAAAGACGCTGAAACACTTCTTTAGTAAATAAAGCTTGCTTTAAATCCCTAATTGTGGTTCATCCAGCTAGGCTTAAATGTCACTAAATTAGCAAATTGTTTTACTAACTATCGCGCTAATAATAGTAAGCGATTCAAGAGAGTGATCCTTTATTTATACTTGCTTGATTAAAAGCCAAAATCAAAAAATTAAAAAAAAAAATTTAACGGTAAAGTTTTAACCTTTCCATAGGGATATTAAGAACTATCCACAAGATTTTGTTCTTTGAGCACTTTCATCTATTCAGATATCCTGAATGAAATGTTTGATCAAAATCTTTAGCTATGCATACTTTTGGTGCTTTCTTTATTCTAGTGTAGTTATTAGTAGTGAGTTCGTGTCTCCCCGACAACATTTGCACTTAATACATAATAAAATGTTTTTAATTCCACAATGAATCTGAATGTGTAATAATGGTGGTTGTAGCTTGCCACTAGACTACACTGTACTGTACTGATAAGTGCAAAGTTCATTTTGGGGGGATAAGCGAGTACGACACGCCCCCAAATCGCCACTCTTTAAGCATTTAGTCAGTGCATCAAATGTTTTTTAATCAAAACATTTTCTGCAGTGGAATTTAACGAGATTAAAAGATAAAGATATGAAATACATGGGAATAAAATATGAAAAATTGATTTAAATTGAAGTTAACATTGAATTTACCAAAAGCAAACCTTTTTTTGCTGACATTGCATCAGAAATCTAAAAGTAACATTATTCTAATCTAAAAATACTGTCTAAAAGTTTTTATTAGCAGTCAATGGAATTAACTTCGATATTTTGGTAAGACAGATTTTTTTTCTATTTTCACAACTTTTCCGAAATAAAATAGATAAATAAATAAATAATGTTAGAACTAGAAAGAATATTACGGAAAAACAAAACAGGCATATATATATATATATATATATATATATATATATATATATATATAAGGAAAGAGAATTAAACGAATATACAAAAAAATCAATTAAAAAACATTATTGTTAAATTGTGGCCTTCTGAAAACTCTTGAAAATGATTCATGGATTATTAGTACACATTTGTGATTTCCTACCCTTTTGCTCTTTCTCACTCCTTCATTACATCTATCTATCTATCTATCTATCTATCTATCTATCTGTCTGTCTTTATGTATGTATAATGTGTGAATAAGTGTGTACTTGTGTACAAAATGTAAACAGAGTGTTCTATAGATTAAAAATTGCAAAAAGTGAATATTTATCGTATGTATCTTACCTGTCCGGCTTTCGGTAACGTAGACCTAGGCAGAGGTGGTTGAGCTGAATAATGATCCTGAATCCTAGAGCCTAACTCTATTTACCGTCACACACTTAAGCTTAGAATCTGCACTGGCACACCAAAGTAGTCCAAGTAACAGACCAGCGGCTGCTGCCGGTACAGAGTCCGCTCTGTCAAGACTCAATGACGCTGTGTTGGGAACGGTAAGGGAGTTCTCCTTCACATTACAGTCGAGGATTGTAGTGGTGGTGGTGTATAACTACTGGTGGGGACCTCCGACGTCACCACCCTCACCGTCTGAAAGGGAAGAGGTCGTGAGCTGCTGACGATAGTACTGAAATGAAAAGCAAAAAGAAAAAAGAGGAGGAGAACGAGGAGCAAAGGAAGGTGGAAGAGGAGAAATAAGAAAGGGTGGGCGCATTTTTCTTTCCGCTAGGAAAGAGGGGACGCTGACGAACAGGAGGCGGCTCTCATATTTTCACAATCTTATGCCACTGACAGAATTGAATGCAGAAGGTGGAGATAAGACGCTGAAAGTTGCCAGCACAGGGATAGCCAAACACATGCGCATTTGCCGGGCACTGGCAGAATCGAATCTTAGTATAACCCAATAAAAAATAATACATTTAAAAAGTGAATATCACCCGCCTATTGATAGAATTTGTTGCTGTTCATTTGCCCTGTTGGCATTTTCATAGATGTCGTAATGTCATTGGCATATATACTTGATTATGCGTGGGTGGATGTTTTTGTGAAGATGTACAGTTGATGGAATAGGTGGACGTGCAAAGTGTAAGTCATTTGTCATGAAGGTTTGCACTACAGCTTTTTTCTTTGTAAGAAAACTGTAATATCTTCATCTGTTTCTCTCTCTTTCTATCGCTGTTTATTACCAATTCCCTCTCCCTCTTTCTCTCTCTGTCTCATTGTGTTTAATGAATAGTTTGCAATACATAAACTATTATGTATTTTAGGCTCTATTACAGTATGCCAAAATCTCTTATAAATTATTTTATCTAAATGTAATAAATCAAAACAGGAATATTTTCTATGTGCCGTGTCCTTTCAGAACGTGGGCGACCATAGCTTTCCACTACTTCCTATCCATTGTTGCTCTTAGTAGTGTTTTTCTTTTACTATCCTCTCGTCCCTTGTTCTTTTACACAAGCTATTTACACAAGCTCATTGGGTAGGTTATACGCTAGGTAGGTTTCTCACTGTCATGCTTGCCTTCAATACGTCCTGTGAGTATCAAATTTTGTAAGCCCCCTTTCCTCATTATGTGTCCTAGAAATTTAAATTGTATCTTTCTAATTTCAAACATGTGCTCTTTTCTTTTCCATTTTCTTTAAAACTTCCTAGTTTCTTACATGCTACGTCCATGGCATTCTCAGCATCCTTCTGTAGAATCGTACTTCGTTTGCCTCAGATTTCCTCTTCATCTGTGAGGGAATTGTCCAGTATTCACTATTATATAGGAGGATTGATATTACATATAAGTTCAGTATTATACAACAGAGTATACATTTGTTAAATTTTGTAAACGTGCTAATTGGTGGCAGAAAAAAATTATCTTTTTTTAGGGATATCGTGTTTCACTTAAAAACACTGCGATACAACAATTTAAATGCATTTTAATTTTACATTAATTTGAGGTTGTTAATAGTTACGAAAATACAAACTAAATCAAGAATTATTGGATTCTAAATGCACCAAGAATTTTTCGAAACCATTTTGACACAAACATATTTGCTTTCTTGATGGAAATACATTCAGTGACTCAGTAGCCCATCCTCTGAAGTATGTACAAAGTACATGTTGCCTCTGTGAGTGTTGAATTCAGTAATTTTATTTACAATATAACAATAAAAATCTAGTTTTCATAATCATAATCAATTTTCGCTTTTTGTGACGTTTTTCGTTTTCTTTCTTTCACATTCTCATTGTCATCATAGATATTCTCCTATTAATCCTCTTCATCAACTAATTTTTTCTTTTATCATTTTGTTACAGTTTATGAAATACTTTAATTCACTTTTTCTATCCATTTAAATGTAAATCTTTAGCGTCCTCTTTTTCCATTACTAATACACTTACAAGAAATTTCCTGCTTTTATTCATTATTATTCAGTCTTTTCCTGTTTGCTTGTATATTTCCCCTGTTTATATACCGCTGTGAGACATTACTTGGATTCCAATTACATTAAACTTCTTTCAATGCTAAAACAATGTCATTGCTTTTAGTCATTTACTAATCATAATTTAGTGCATCGACCTAATGTTTACTGAAATGTCTACTGAAACGTTTACTTATTTCCAGTCATGAGTAAAGGAAAGAAGTTGCAACACAAATTAATGAATGGAACACTGCTGCTGTTTGCATTTCATAACAAAATGTTAGCTCATTTTTAATATTCCATGTCATATTTACCTTTTGGCATTACTAATTTTATTGGAATCATAAAAATATTAATATGGAAAATGGTTATTTTAATTTTTATGTCAGTGCTTTAAGTTTATATTGAAAAGAACATATTTCAAAGCTAAAGAAATTTGAAGGGTGAATGATAAATAGTAACATTTTATTTGATAAGAGCATTGTAATTTGTACACCCATACTCATATCCTATGATCGCATATCAAAGATAAGAAAAGATGTCTGCTGGTGGAAGGTAGAGCAACGAAATTTGTATCTAGGTTTTTAAATGCGAAATGACACACGTTGTTTGTTTTTTTTTATCAGTTTTTGTTATGATTCATTCACTCGAAAAGTTTTCACTTGACAGTACTATTATTCATTCAAATAGCATGTTTATATGAGCATCAATTACTTTTATGGTGTAACCTGTTATTAATTCGATTTAAATCCATGAAAAGAGCGATTGCTACGTCAGCAAGAAACTGTCCTTTGGTAAGTGGCTACCTTTGGAACAAAAATAGATGTAATCTTTACTGATTTTTTCCATGTGGTAAACCAATAAAAAAAGGGAAATACCATATAAAGTATAGTGTTCGCAACTCTTCCTAACAGACGAGATTTTCATTACTTTAGACCAGATGTGATGTTTCAAAGTGTTACTGTTAATCATTAATCTCTTTAGTGGGAAACGGGATTCAGTTGTATTAATAAAATACTATGCGTTGTCGGAAACAATATATACTATTTTGAGGTTATCATAAAACACTTTTATACACCCTATAATACTAAATAAAAAAATCTGAGAAAAATGTGCTTCTTTGACGTATAAATAATCACAAAAAACATTAGAGAATTAAGGACTATTGAACTCATCTATTACATTATCATGTAAACAAAAGTTTATGTATTTATTTTTTATTTTATTTAATGATCCAAGTTTCATCTTTATTTTAATACTTATACTCAGATAGCTTTGACAGGAAACAAATTATCGTTATTTAATCAACTTCACTAATATTTAGTGCATTAAAACTTCAAACTCTCTTTTCCAGATAGGTAAAGAGGATTATTCATAAAATGGTTTCTGTATCTCAACATACATTTAGATATATGATTGCAATTTAAAAACCACTGACTCTATATTTACATATGTATTATGTATTGATGATAAAATCTTTTTATGTATTAACGATAAAAACTAGAAAATCCGAAAGGAATTTCCAATCGAAAATCATTACTCTATGTCTCTTGCTTAAATAATGGTCTTTGGTAATTTCACATTGTTAAAAATAAATACTTCTGTATGTGCGCTTACAAAAAATTCTTACTTTAAAATAGCAAGGGATATTCTTCACTAAAAAGAAGTACATTTTTAGTTACTGAAGACTTAAGTCACATTAAAGCCACTCATGAGTTTTCACAACGCATATTTGCAAGTCAGAAACAGTATTATAATCGAAAATACAAGAGAATTAGATAGCCTTATAAGTTCGTCCAAAGTTTTGGTTTATGTATTTGATTAAAACATGTTCTACTGCTAATAATTTTAAAATGTATTAAAATTAACGCTTATATATATAATTAAATATACTGATCCTATTAGCAATGTATAGAATATGGAAGGTGGGATTGGTCTAATGGTTATCGGCACGGAAAATGGAAACGGCGAGTCGGATTGAAATTCCTGCCGATGTTCTTTGAATTCACTAATATCCTTTGTAACAGCATTAATCTATCTCTTCTCTGTCTAGTTATTCATGAAACAGTGAGCCTTTAGCTCATGTAGAGCAATCAGTCTAAGAGAAGATAGAACTCCGAATGTTGCAGTTTGTCTAGCTATCTTATACACCCATGATTTATGCGGGTGTAGCACATTGGTTTCAGGATGTCTACGTTTCATTGAAGAATGGGAAAGGGGGGGGGAAGGGTGCGATGGATAAATTGTCGTCTAAATTACGCAAAATTCAAAATAACACCGACATCTCATTTTAACAGATATGTTTACAAAAATTAAACAAAAATATCTTGAAATACTAAAGAGTAAATTTATTCAATAAAATCACCATTGGTTTCAACCACGGCCTCCAGACGACGGCCTCAAGACGACTGTCTCCCTGTCTAAGTTGTTGAATCTTGCCATAATCCTTACTTTCAGTTCATCTTTGGTGCTACAAAGAGTTTTGTTGGTCTTTCGCTCAACTGCACACCATACATAATAATCAAATGGGGTGCCGTCTGGGGAGTTAGGTGGCCAGATGTAAGGGGTGATGCGGCCACAGAAATTATCTGACAGCCATGACTGGGTTCTCCTGCTTGTATGGCATGGTGCAGAGTCCTGTTGTCAAATATATGGTCTTCCAGCAGCCACCCCTCGACCCTAGGCAGCAATACATCCCCAAGGCACTTGACGTAGGCCCCCGCGTTGAGTCTCAGGCCCTCACTAACAAATTCAGTTCTTTTCTTATCAGAATGATCAGAGTGAGTTTTCCGAGCTGCGGTATCTCTGTAATCACCATTAGACTCATCCAACTCTTTCCGAATATTCTGCGCTGTCCTCAGATTGACATCCAAATACTCTTAAATATTCGTTTGTTCTAACTAAAAAAATAGTTATTTACTATGAAGAAATATATCGATTGTCTTTTGAAACGATTTGAGTTAATTAAAACATTACTTTTTCTAGCTAATAACAGTACTGGTATTGATAACGGCAATACTACTAAAGATCACATTAAAAAGATAGATAACTAATAATATTTGAACTTTCGGATTTGTAATGGATTATATATATTTACAAAGACCGAGAAAAATTCAACCATCTAATGTGTATAATTGGGGATTCTGATACAAACAATAAGGATTTTCAATCAGGACTTCAGAACAGAGTTTGGAATTAAAAACTATGCACTTTGATGGAAAAAGGAAAAAAAAAACATTAGCACACATTGATTTATTTTACAGTGAAATCCTCAGAATACTGAACAGGAAAGAGAATCACAATACTGAAAGCAGATTCAATAAATCAAAAGAAAAATTAACAAAGAATATTTCAGAAGAATAAGTAAATTACTCGAAGCAAAATTCAACAGCAAATCCACAATCAAAAAATTAATACCTGGGCAATATCCATTATCGGTTATTCGGAATCATTA